GGGAGGCTCCAGAGGAGTCTTGGTGATCAGAAAGGTAAGACCATTCTCTGCCATGCCAATCAGGAAGGCCCTAGGGGTTTACTGGTTTCGACCCAGACCTTTGGTCTTGGCTCATTTGAGGAACCAGCATCTGAGAAGAGCACACCCATTTTTAGGAAATTAGGCAGATTATCAGCTATGGCAAAGGAAACCAGACAGATATCACACACAAATGCAGTTAAGCCAGCACTTCAGAGCCAACAGGATTTTCTCGTAACTTAAGAAATCTGTACTTTGAAAGGTGGCTTTTGTTTTTATATTTAATGTGGATCATTTTGGTTTTCCTTCTTCTTTAATGCTTACTAGCATTCTTGTTGAAAATGCCAGCCTGTCACTGTGCTAAGGGGAACAAAAAGAGAGAGGGTGTGAAGAGAATTCTCCTGAGGCCAAATCTATCATCCAAATCAATTGTACTGGGTTGCTTCTGTTCTTTTCTTTAACTTCACAAAACCCAAGTGGTCTGGTTGTAGCCTTATACCCCAATCAAATGCACCAGGAAGAAAATTTAAAGCTTTTTCTATATACCACAATGCCATGTTTTATCCATACTTGAACCAGAATTTGAAAGGAGAAACAGTTTTATTCTTTAGGAATTAAGTATAGTGAAGCCATAGGAATCAAGGGACGCTACCTCCACAATATCTGAAGAAGCTCCTTCTAGATGGCGGGGATCTAGCGGGTGAGGCAAGGAGGCACCAAATGGCTGCAGAAGTTAAGGAGGCATTTGTTCTCATGGTCCTGCAAAGGCCTCCTTAAATTTTGAGACCTGGCTTGCCTGACCCTAAGTCCCTCCCTGCTTCTGTCTCCTGGACATCTAGAGTTTATGTTTTGTTTTAATGAGAGAGGTCACTGCCTTACAAGAGTCCTGCCTTAATAAACGATGCTCGAAAAGTTACTGAGCTGGTTTAGAAAAAGAGGGAATAAAAGAGTGATAAAAAGGAAATATACTAGATCTCAAAGAAACCAAACCTATTAAAAAAAAAATCTGAGTAGGAATCTACAGGTTATTTCCGTTTTTTTCCTATTATTCCTCCCCAAAATAACTCTTCCATATGTAATACAAAGGTAATATGCAGTACAAGGGCAACCTTAAGAAATGGTTTATTCTCTGTTTAAAATGTGAGTTATTTAAAAAGCAGTTATTTAAACAGAGAATAAGCCATTTCTTAAGGTGTTTCTGGCATCCTCAGGTATAATCACTTTTCAGAGTGAGGAGGAGAGAATGCTACTAGGCTGGTGCCAGAAGAACTAGATTCAAATCACTGAGTTATCACATATATAAATGTCGGAATTACATTAAATAATCTCTAAGATCCTTCCAAACTCTAAGAATCTAGGAATGGGGTCCAGGGACTACACACTTAGGGTGATGTTCAGATAGAATTGCTTCATCGAAGTGAGGAGACAAAGTTCTTGTTTTCTCCATTCACTCTAACACTTGCTTACTCTACTTAAAATTACCAAGGCCAAATAACTGCTGAGTATTTAAGCCAAGAACAGCTAAAACTGAATAAGGGTTGAAAAACATCATCTCCTGAGATTACATTGTGTTATTTCATTCATGCAGCCAATAATTTAGAAAACATTTACTAGGCATCTGTTTGTAAAGCACTGTGCTATGGAGATTATACAAATGAATGAGCAATTGCTGTCTGGACTTAAAATCTGGTAGGCTGTCCTGCTTAATAAGAACACAGATAACCAAAATAAAATGGTGAAGATCCACAGGAGAGCTACAAAGCCCTGTAAAGGAGGCATAGCTCTGGCTTGGAATCCTGGTTCCCACTTAAAGGTATGTGACTATAGAAGAGGTTAATTTTCCTTCAGTTTCCTCATCCATAAAATGAGGATATTAATAATACCTTTTTCATAAGGTTGTTGAGAGGATTCAATGAGATAATAAAATAAAAGTGACTTAACATCATGCCTGATAAAGCGTAAATACCCAGTAAATGTTAGTTACTATTGTCATTATCATGGGAATTCAGAGCGGTTGATTTGACTTAGGAGAAAGAAGATAACTTTCATAAGGATATAGCGTTAGAATTGGGTGTACAAAGATGGGTACATAGTTAGATAAGTGGTACAGAAGAAAGGAAGAGGAAGGACAAGAAGGAGAGAAATCCTTGCTATAGCACAAAGTTCAATTTGGCTGGAGTAGAAAGTTCCTTAACGGAAATAATGGCTTGAAAAGCAGTTTACAGAAGCTACACATAAATCACAACTTTTTTTCTGTTAGTTTCCCTTCATCCCCAGTCATGTCTAGAAATTAGCATGGTAGTTAAAAACATATCAAATGTTATTATTAATGCGGTCAGCATTAAAGCCCATATGAGTAGATACGCTCAAGCATCTAAATCCAAAAACCTTACGGATTTTTTCTGACCCTTTCTGGAAGCAATTTGTCAAATCTGAAAAAGCACCAAGAATTCTTATGCCTGAGAATCAAAAAACAAGTCCCAAGCCACGTTAAAATCACTTAACATCTCTGGGCTTCAATTTCCTCCTAGGAAAACATATACTATTGTGACTTTAGGAAAGATGGATAGAAGAAACACTAGATGGTAGGAAGGCCATTGCAGGGGAAAACTTGCCAACCTCTTTGGGTTGATACAAGACACAAATGCAACCATGGATGTGAAAGCACTTAACATACCTGTACTATATAAAACATTAGATATTTTTATTTTTGAAGTCATACCAACTTAGATCAGAATCCTACCTGATCCACTCATTTACTAGTTCTATGACCTTAAGGGAAAATAGCCAGAAACTGCTATGCTCTTCACACTATTGCTGGGCTTTTACCAAATAAGCAACGCGGATCTGGTAATGGCATTTCCCCCCCTGCATCAGTCACTTAGAAGCACATGCAGGTTCTAATAACATAATTTCAGAAACTCTTGTTTTTATTTTAACTCTCATTTCCCCTTCCTGGGCCATTTGATTTTGCATTTTATTTTTAAATGCCTCCAATCCCCACCCTCTATCCCCTTTTTTTTTTTTTCATGAGGCTAAGCCTAAAAACTAATGAATCATAAATGTACCTCTTCCACCAGGCCTCCCTTTACCTTCCTAAGCAGAAGCTCTTGACTTTTTGTATGCCCTGTTCTTTCTAAGTGCTCAACAAATGCTTCTTAAGTTAATAATAACATTGAAGAGTCCACACTTAACTGGCCAACATCAGAAACATCCAAATGCTGTTAGCTGAATGTGGACCCAACCAAAACTAAATTTTATTATGTGTTTTCAGGATGTTGTCTAACAACAGTAATATTTTTAATGTGTTGAGTAATATTTTTAATTTGTTAGGCACATTACAATCTTCTACATTTATCTGCCTATATAGCATTTGGTCCTCACTGTGTCCTTGTCAAATTGTTTTGGCAGGCATTATTTTCTTTTCTTTTTTTTTTTTTTTTAAAGATGGGGTTTCACCATATTGATCAGGCTGGTCTCGAGCTCCTGGCCTCAGGTGATCCACCCACCTCAGCCTCCCAAAGTGCTGGGATTACAGGTGTGAGCCACCGCACCTGGCTATTTTCTATTTTATATATGGGAACACAGACCCAGCAGGTCTGTTGTGGAAGAGCCAGTTAGAAACCAGGACCTCCTCCACTTCCAACCCAGCAATCCTTTCATTCTGATACACTCTCTCTGGGAAATTCTAGAAGCAGGCAGCAAAACAACCAAAAACTAAAGCAGCTTACTTTTTCATATGTAGTATGTAAGTGAATACCAATGGCAAATGACAATGGGAATGTCTATTAAGAAATACATAATAAGCCTGGTGCAGTGGCTCACACCTGTAATCCCAGAATTTTGGGAGGCTGAGGCAGGCGGATCACTTGAGGTCAGGAGTTCAAGACCGGCCTGGCCAACATGGTGAAACCCCATCTCTACTAAAAATATAAAAATTAGCCAGGCATGGTGGCAGGCGCCTGTAGTCCAGCTACTCAGGATGCTAAGGCAAGGGAACGCTTGAACCCAGGAGGCAGAGGTTGCAGTGAGCTGAGATCACCACACTGCACTACAGCCTGGGCGACAGAGCAAGACTCTGTCTCAAAAAAAAAAAAGAAAAAAAAATACATAATAAGCACATTGATCAATTGACAAGATATTTTAAAATGTAGGCTCAATCTAATATTTTTTTAAAAGGATGCATTAGCCTGGCCAACATGGTGAAACCCCCGTATCAACTAAAAACAGAAAAATTAGTTGGCCATGGTGGCGCTCGCCTATGATCCCAGCTACTTGGAAGGCTGAAGCAGAAGAATCGTTTGAACCCTGAAGGCAGAAGTTGCGGTGAGCCTAGATCGAGCCACTGCACTCCAGCCTGGATGACAGAGCAAAACCCTGTCTCAACATCAACAACAACAACAACAACAAAATGGATGCATGCGTGGAGGGCATGAAATATTTCCGTTAATCCAACCTCAACCTCCTTTAGTCCTTCACAAGGCCTATACTTAAATGATTATAAAGGGACTTCACTATTTGGAGCAAAGAATACAAAGACTGTCACAAAATGTGCCATGTAATATTTATCCCACGCAGTATAAATTATAGATGGGAGCGAACTCCATTCTGTCGCCTATCCCTCCACACTCAGCCCAAACCCCATATTTACTCCTTATTTTGGGCAAAGGTCATATAATTATTGCTAATAAAATGTTGGGTTTTTGATCCCTAGGTTAAGATGACAAAAATATATATATATCGCCTTGATAACATTCCAGTCTGTTTTTCTTGAAAAAGTCGATGAAGCAAAGAGGAAGTTACCTCTTAAAAGTAACTTATCTTTGATCAGTGCTACCAGTCATTTCAGAATCACTAGCTCAACCTTCCAGAAACAAACGGTTATGAAAGTATTCAAAGAGCGTCTCGGGCTTGGCACAAGTCCCTGTGCCAGGCAGGACAGAGAAGGGGGCGTTCAGTCCCCAGTGTGCAAAGCACCCGACCGCAGGTCCATCCCACAGGTTGGCGCCGCATGGGGTAGCGGCTGGGCAGGTGCCCTCCAGCCCCTGCGCGGACTTAGGACCGGGGTAGTGACCTTGACAACCCCTCCGCTGCCCGGGGGAGGCTCGAGATGGTCACGGGATTGGGATAGTGGTGTGACAGTCTCCAGGCGGCGCGGGGCGGACACCGCACGGGGCAGTGGCCAGTCCGCCCCTCCGGGGCCCGGGAGAGGCTCAGCCGCGCGTGGCTCTGCCCTCTCCCCAGCGTCTCCAGCGTCCCGCCCGCGGCGCATCTGGGGCCGGGCTCGGGCGAGCGGCCAGCCCTACCTCCTCGGTGGCCGTGGGGCAGTAGGAGATGAGCACGAGCGTGGTGAGCATGTTAACGGCGAGCCCGAGCAGGGTGATGGAGTTGGGGGCCATCCAGAGCGGGATCCACTGGAGCAGCCAGGTCCAGTAGAGCTGCAGCGGCGGCTCCAGCAGCGAGACGCCCGCCGCGCTGTAGCGGTGCTCCTCCAGCCGCCGCAGCTGCGCGGCGCTCAGCGGCTCGCCCAGCGCCCTCAGCCACCGCGGCGCGGGCTTGGCCCCGGCGCCTGCCGCCATGGCCGCCTGCGGGGCCCCGCCGACGCCACCTAGCGCAGCCCGCGCTGGGCGCTGGGGGCGGGAAGAGGTGGAGGGAGGGGCTCGCGGCCCGAGCCTGCGCCGGTCCGCCCCGCGCGGCGAGGTGGAGGTCAGGCCGAGCTGCCCGGGTCCCGGGTCCCCGGGCCCCCGCCCCCTCAGCGGTGGGGCCGCTGGTGCGTCTCGCGGGTGGGGCGGGGCCTCGGGGAGGGGTCCGGCTAGGGGCGGGGAGGCGGGCGCGGCGCTCGCGGGTCACCCTCGGCGCCCGCCAACGGCAACTTGCTATTGGCGATCGAGGTCCCTGACTTCCAGGGGCCGGCCGCACTGCGCCTGAGGTCTGATTTCTTCACCCAGGGCGGGCGTCGGATTACGCCCTGATGGAGTGTCCTCGAAGGGTGCGCCGCGACAGAGCCGGCTCCTCTCCTAGAGGTGGGAACACGACTCCAGCCGCCCTCGGTCAACCAATGCAGGACCACGCTGGCTGCCCGCGGAGCCTGGGGGTTTTCGTGTGGGAACACAGTTTTGCAGGTCTGGGGTCACCTGCTTGGTAAACACAATTCTCCCTTCCTGCACGGAGGAAGGCGGCCCTGCCATGTATTCGCTCTAGAAACCCCCTCACTGCAGGTTCAGAGACCAAGGTTTTGAAACTGAAAATCAGCGCTTAGAAACACTATCTAACAAGGAGACCGAATGGCTGAAACTCCAATACCTATTTTTTTTTTTTCCAGCGCATTTGATGCCAACAGGGTTGGATATTTTTACACACGATCTTCCCTGGAATTGAGGGCCGGAACCCAGGCGTGTCCTCCCCCTGCACCGGGGAATAGACCGGCTTGCTACGCATTGGAGGGTCACTGGCCCCTTATCTCACAATGCACTCTCTTGGACAGGGGACATCTGTCATAAACATGTTCTGTTGTACAACCTGAGACAGGCCCGTCACTCTCTTCACTTCATGGTTCTGATCTGTACGCACTTTCTAAGGCCTAGGACAAGCCAGAAATTGCTTCCAAGACACTTGCGTGGCGCAACCTCTATCAGCAAGCGCATCAGGGATCCACAAACTGCTCCTGTGGGCCAGAGCCAGCCACCGCCTGTTTTCCTACAGCCCTCCAGCTAAGTACGGTTTTTACATTTTTAAATGATTGGGAAAAAATCCAAAGAATACTATTTTGTAATGTGAAATTATATGAAATTCAAAGTTCAGTGCCACAAATAAAGCCATGTCTATTCCTTACGTATTGTTTGGCTGCCTTCATGCTACAGAGGCAGCAGAATTCAATTGTGACAGAGACCATACGGCTGGCAAAGCCTGGAATAAGTCCTACTAGGCCCTTTAAGGAAAAAAGTGGCAACCACTGCCTTAGAGCAATGAGGATGTCTACAGACCAAGCATGTATGTTTTAGGAATATGTATCATCTTCTCATCTTTAATGTGAAAAGCGATGCTGACAAATGCAGGAAAGGAAATGGAATGATGGAGACCCACTTTTAACAATGCCGGCTTATGTGCAGTGATCTTGACAGTACCTACTTTTTAATTTACCAATGCCATGAATTGTCCAAGGAAAAATCCTTTTTCCGATTAGCAAATTTTACTGTATTAAATTTCTAATGTACATCAAAAGACATCATAAAGAGAATGAAAATGCAAGCCATAAACTGGAAAAAGGCATTTCCTTCAAATAAAACCCACAATGACTAGTACCCAGATTACGTAAAGAACTCCTAAAAATCAATCAGAAACAAAAATAATCAACAGGGCTATGTTCAGTTTCTATAGCAGAAACCCTGGAACATGGTAATGTAAAGAAAATATTTCTCTCTCACATGAAAGAAGTATAGAATTGGCACTCCAAGATTGGTACAATGTTTCCATGGTCATCAGGAACTCAGGCTGTTCTGTCTCTCTGCTCCAGTATCCTCTCTGACTTGTATCTATAAGGTCATCTCATGGTTCAGAATGGCTAGTGAAGCTCCAGTCATCCTATTTGCATTTCAAGCAGCAGGAAGTAGGAAGAGGAGAGGAAAAAAAAAAAAGGTAGATACACTGGCTGGCGAGCAAACTGGGGTGCCTCTCCAAAAGTCCCAAACAGTACTTCTTCATACAGTAGTCCCCCTTTGTCCCTGGTTTCACTTTCTGCAGTTTTAGTTACCCACAGTCAACCATAGTCCAAAAATATTAAATGGAAAATTCCAGAAATAATGTATGAGTTTTAAATTGCATGCCATTCTGAGTAGTGTGATGAAATCTCACACAGTCCCACTCTTCCCCACTCAGGACATGCATCATCTCTTTGTTCAGTGTATCCCTACTTTATATGCCACTTGTCCGTTAGTCATGCATTAGCCATCTTGGTTATCCAATAGAAACAACATGGTATATACAGGGTGCTGTACTATCCATAGTTTCAGGCAACAATTGGGGGTCTTGGAATATATCCGCTGGAGATAAGGGGACTGTTGTTTTATACATCTCATTGGCCGGAACTTAATTAATGTGCCCTACCTCAGTGGAAGTGTTAGCTAGGAAGAATAGATGGTTGCAACCACTTGAAAAACAACCTGGCATTTTCTAATAAAGTTGAACATGCTTATACTCCGATACCGCAATTCTGATCGAGAATATATCCTAAAGAAATTCTTGCACAGGTATCGTAGGAGATAGGTATAAGAATATTCATGACACCTTTGTTATACAATAACCAAAAGCTGTAAATAACTTATATGTCCACTAATGCTGAATGGGTAAGTAAACTGGTATTTTCAAGTAACTTAATATTATGTAGCAAGTTTAATATAGCAGTAAAAAAGTTAATGAACTATAGGTACGCTTATGAACATGAATGAATTGCACAAGCATACATTGAGTGAAAAAAAAGCAGATATATTAGTCAGCTTGGGTTGTCATAACAAAATACCATAGACTGACTAGCTTAGACAAAAGGACTTTATTTCTCACAGTTCTGAAGGATGGGAAGTCCAAAGTCAAAGTGTGTTTCTTAGTGAGGATCTCTTCCTGGCTTCAATATGGGCACCTTCTATGTTCTCACATGGCACAGAGAGAGAGAGAGAGGAAGCTCTCTGGTGTCTCCTTAGAAAGTCCTTATAAAAGCACTTATCCCCGGGCCGGGCGCGGTGGCTCAAGCCTGTAATCCCAGCACTTTGGGAGGCCAAGGCGGGTGGATCATGAGGTCAACAGATCGAGACCATCCTGGTCAACATGGTGAAACCCCGTCTCTACTAAAAACTACAAAAACTTAGCTGGGCATGGTGGCACGTGTCTGTAATCCCAGCTACTCAGGAGGCTGAGGCAGGAGAATTGCCTGAACCCAGGAGGCGGAGGTTGCGGTGAGCCGAGATCGCGCCATTGCACTCCAGCCTGGGTAACATGAGTGAAACTCCGTCTCAAAAAAAAAAAAAAAAAAAAAAAAAAAAGCACTTATCCCCTCATGAAGGCCCCACCCTTGTGATATCCAATATCCTAAAGGCTCTGTCTCCAAATACCATCACACTGTGGAGGATTAGGGCTTCAACATATGAATGGGGGTGGAGTAAGGGCAGGATACCATTCCGTCCATATCAGCAGGTCATAGACAAAATGCATGCAGTATTATTTTACTTATATAATGTTCAAAAACATGCAACTGCACTTCACAGTTCCCATGTGGCAAAGCAATGAGGAAAAGAAAAAGAATTTTAAGTACAATCCTGCTAGTGGTTATTCCTGATAGAGAGGAAGGGAAATGCAATTGTAGAGGGGCACATGGCAGGTTTCAAAGGTATTGGTAATTGTTTTAGAATGGAGCTAGGCAAACTACAGCAGCCTAAAGGAAATAAAAGTTGATTTTTCCCACATTGATGTCTGGATAGGCATGGTAGGGCTACATGGCAGCTCGATGGTGTCAGAGACACAGATTTCTTTCATTTTATTGGTCTGCCACCGTTAGGATGTTGTCCTTGTCCTTGTGGTCAAAAGTGGCTGGCCACAACTCCCAACCAATTCGAAGGAGGAAAAGAGAAGGGGCTGCTATGCTCCTTTCTTCTGAAGGCCGTGACCAAAGGTTGCACACATCACTGCTGCTCTCATTCCACTGGCCAGAACTTGACCTGTCGCCCAGGCTGGAGTGCAGTGGCGCAATCTCAACACACGTCAACCTCCTTCCAGGTTCAAGTGATTCACCTGCCTCAGCCTCTTGAGTAGCTGAGACTACAAGTACGCACCACAACACCCAGCTAATTTTTGTATTTTTAGTAGGGATGGGTTTTCACCATGTTGGCCAGGCTGGTCTCAAATGCCTGATCTCAAATGATAGTCCTGCCTTGGCCTCCCAAAGTGCTGGGATTACAGGTGTGAGCCACCACAATTGGCCAAAACAGGTCTATTATTATTGAAAAGTGAGACAGTGAGTATTGCAGGGGGCCATCAAGCTGTCTCAATCACAGTTTTTTAACTGAGTAATAGTGTGTTCATTTTACTATTATTTAAGCCATTTATATCTATATATATCTACATATATATAGATTATCCTATGCCAAGCATATATATGATATATATCTACATATATATTTATACTATTTACATATACATACATCTATATCTACATTTATCTACATAGATACAGATGGCATAAATATTTGTATATTCTACAAATATGAAATGTCATAATTTAAAAATAGTAAAAGTGTAAATATAAAAACCATTTTTTTAAGTACTCATCATGCTCTAAGGTGATTTTTCCCTATGCTTCTTTGCTGAATTTTAGGAAATTTCAAATTAATTCAAGACATACTAAGGCATATTTATTTCTTCTACCTTAGCCCTCTCTAACATACTCTAATGTCAAAAAAGTCTATTAGAGATTTCCTAATTTTATTTCTCGCATCATGGCCCCCTTCCATTTTCACGGTTTGTTATGTAGTGATTGATATATACAATGTTTCCCCCTTTTCTTGAGTTAAACTGGTAGCTCACATTGATGAGTTTCTATCCTATGCTAAGCACTGTTCTAAACATCAGGAGTTATCTCAGCTGCTCCTCACAAAAACTCTATGAAATAGACCATTGTTATCCCCATTTTACAGATGAGGAAACTGAAACACAGTGAGGTTCAAAAACTTACCCATGACTGCACAGCTAGTGGAGCGGTAAAGCCAGGATTCAAGCCCATATAGTCTGATTTCTGAGCTTATGTCCCCAATGACTGCAAAATGCCACCTATTAACTTACATGTATTAAATGTAGGAATTTAGTGGGTACTTTTGTCAATATGGAACAGTCGAATTTCTATATATCATGTTGGTTTTGTGCCATTCCAGTCCATTCTAAATATTATGACAAAAATTATTGTACTAAATTTACTAAAACTAATGATATATTCCCTTGTTCTGAAGCCTTTGATAAAGTCCAACCTCCCTCATTTGGCATTTGAAGGCCCACTCTACCCTCCTAGTCTTACCTCCCTAATATCTCTTCCCCCATTCTTCTTCCTGTCTCATGCTCCAGCTGCCTGAGCCCATTGGCTGGCCCCAAACCCACTCTCATTCGTTCCCTGTTAGGGAGTACCCTCAATCCCTTATTATCCCTATCACACTGCCCATCACTCAAGACTCAGCTTAAATTCCACCTTCTCGAAAATGACCTCTCGGATTCTTCCAGTTTAATCCTCCTGCTCCTACACAACCAGAGCACTCTGTACACTGTTACGTAGGCTATCTTTGTTCAGTTACTTGTGTATTGATTAGCCTCCCCACCCAGCTCATAAAGTGTCAGACCATCCCTGCACTGAGTGTGTTCCTCAATGCCTGGCATCCGGTAGACGTCCATAATTCAAAAAAAATTATTTAAAAATAATTACAGACACACAGGAAGTTGCAAAAATAGTACCAAAAATCCCTTGTACAAAGCATCCTCCTATGGAAACTTCTCACATTTCCAAAGCACAATAGGGATGCATAAATGTTTGTTTGATGGTTTAACTAAATTGAATTCCTTTCCCCAAGGAGAAAGAACATCTTGCTTTAGGCTCTTGGTTTTACTACTAGTTCTTTTGTGTAACTTTCAGTGATATTTAAAATCTTCCTCAACATCCTTAATCTCTAGGCCAACTTTCCAGAAAATGTTAAACAGTGTCATACAGGCACTGTTGGTGCCTGTATGGACTTTCATTGGTTTGAAAGAAAGAATGGGTTGCAGTAAGAAATCCCCTGGCTAAAGGCCGGGCGTGGTGGCTCACACCTGTAATCCCAGCACTTTGAGAGGCTGAGCCAGGCGGATCACGAAGCCAGGAGTTTGGGACCAGCCTGGCCAACACGGTGAAACCCAGTCTCTATTAAAAATGCAAAAATTAGCCATGCGTGGTGGCACACACCTGCAATCCCAGCTACTCAGGAAGCTGAGGCAGGAGAATCTCTTGAACCCAGGAGACAGAGGGTGCAGTGAGCCCAGATCATGCCACTGCACTCCAGCCTGGGCAACAGAGTGAGACCCTGTCTCAAAAAAAAAAAAAAAAAAATCACTTGTCTAGGCTTGCGTTGGAATAGAATTTTATCATGAAGCATCAAGCTATCTGTGTGTTTAGAATTCTGAGCTTTAGATCTATAGGCTGGAGTATTTGTCATTAGTATAGTTTTATGGTATAATACTTGCTTTACTTGCTTGAGTTTTGTATTTTTATGGTTTTGTACTTTGAGACTCTAAAGTCTAAATTTTATGGAACTATGGTACTTTACAAAATTCATGGGTAGATAGGCAGTGTTCAATAACAGATTGACTAAAACCTTTGCTCTCCTCTCTAAAAATGCTTAATTTCCTGGACAGGATCAGAAAACAAAATTTCACAATACAATCCCTGAGATGTTGTAATTGTGCCCTTTATCTGAAATTGCAAAAGCAATTTAGGGTTAAGAAAACTGATTTCCTTCAGAGAGACACATTTCTTAGCATTGGATCTTGTTTATATCCTTTAATCATTTTTTTAAATAATCTTTTTCAGAGTTTATATCCTACTGCTCTAAAATGCTTTCTCTGGTATGATTTGAG